CAATCCAAGCCAGGACTGCTTTGCAAGCGGGGCACCCCTGAGAACTGTCTGTCCGGGGTGGGGGTCGGGAACCTTTAAGCACAGCCCTCGGCTAGCCTGAGACAGCATCTCCACGCTCTAAGTTCTCCTCTGATGCCCTGCCGGCACTGCTTCCGGCCATCCTTAAGCCCTGTTCAGGGTCCACTTAATGTGGACATGCTAGTTCGAATTAGCAAAACGCTAATTCGAACTAGTTTTTTAGTCTGGATGCGTTAGTTCGAATTAGCTTAGTTCAAATTAACTAATTCGAACGAAGTTAGTTCGAATTAACGTTGTAGTGTAGACATACCCTTGGGTGCCATGGCCACCCCCACGTTCATGAACAGGAAGCAAAGCAACATGGCCAGAGGAGCAGAGCAAGCTGGGGCCACATTGCCCCACTTCCCCCATCACTGCTGCTGAGTGGTGGGGAGAACAGACCCTCACTGCCAGCGCTGGACCCCCAGCCCTGCTAGGGCAGAGCAGGAGTGGAGAGAGTTGGGCCTGGAACAGAGAAGTTTGTCCCTGCCTTTCTCCTGGCTGCAGGAGGGGTCATGTGGCTGGTGGCTTCCCGTGGCTGGTAACCAGCTCCGTTTTACACTGTGTTGCCTTTAAACAGGTTTGAATCTAAGGCTGTGGTCTCCAACCTTTTTAAGCACAAGATCACTTTTTGAATTTAAATGCAAACGAAGATCTACCTCACACCCAAATATCCTTGCCCTGCCTTCTTTGTGCCCCTTCTCTGAGTTTACCCCCGCCCCCGTCCCTGAGCACTCCATCCTCCCTCCCCCATCCTTCACTTTCACCAGGCTGGGGCTGAGGGTTGGGGCGCAGACTCTGGTCTTGGATTAAGGGATCTGGAGTATGAGAGAGGCTCTGAGCTGAGCTCGGGACAGGCGGTTGGGATGCCGGAGGAGGTTCTAGGAGCAGGCTCTTGGGAGGGTGTTTGGATGCAGGGGTGCTTGGGGCTGGGGCAGGGGATTGGGGTGCAGGAGAGGGTTCATGACTGGGGAAGGGTTTTGGGATGTGGGCTCCGACTGGGCCTTGCTGACCTCAGGTGGCTCCTGGGTGGTGGTGCAGTAGAGCGAAGGCAGGCTCGCCCTGGCCCTGCACCACTCCCAAAAGCAGCCCGCAAACTCCATCCCAAGTCCTGTTGTCCCCTTCCCCTCTCTGGAGGTAGATCTATATACACGCAAATGAGACACGGATATCCACATTGACATCCGCGGATGCAGCACAACATCTTCCATAGCTTCAAAGTACTGGCTCCAAGGGACTGGGGAAAAATCTCGTTTCCCGACAGAGGGTAGGAGCTGGACAGCAGTGCGGGGAGAGGCAGCTGAAGTGCTGGCACTTGATAGCCTCTTGGCCAAACCAGTTAGGATCACCTGTCAGAGGCTCCAAGATCTATCAGTAGATCCTGTGACGTGGAGTCCTGTGCAGATACCGCCTCTGTATCTGCAAAAACGAGCCGTGGATATCCACATTGACATCCGCGGATGCAGGTACCTGCCGCGATAAAGGGGATATCCGCAAATTTGCAGGGTGCGAGACGCAACATTTGTATCCGCACCCATAGCCACAAAAAATGAGCTGCAGATAGCTGCGTCCACACCCCCGGATGTGGATCCCCGCGGACAGAAAGCAGATATCCGCGGATTTACAGGGCTCTATTCCGGAGCGTGATTAGAACTTAGAGGAAAGATTAAATCAGTCTCTCCCCCATGGGCTCAGAGAGCAGGAGAGTCTCTGCGCCTTTGAGGCAAGAACGCCCTGCGGCCGCCACAAGGGAAGGCTGTAACAAGTGTATCGGCTGCAGACCCAGCCTAATGTGCAGAAAATAGGATTAGACCTTGATCCTACTTAAGTGACACATACAGATTACACTGTGGAAATGGCTCAAGCTTCAGGGAGTCTGGTCACTCTGTGTCATTCTCTAATGGCCTCTTGCTTGAAGGGGTTTCGTACAGGCACAAGGGGACTCTGACCCCTAGGAACTGTATGGTTCTGCTGAGGAAATAGACAGAACTAGGAAGTGGAATTACCCTGTACCCTCCCCTGGCCTTCAAGGAGAAAGAAGAGTCTATACTGAACCTGCTGGTAGCCTGTCTCCTGGAGCCCAGCATGGCACCATAGATACCCAGGAGAAAACAGACTGGGAGCGTACTGCAGACACCCCTGGGCTGCTCTCCTGCGTTCAGGCATGCTGTCAAAGATTGCATTCTGGGAGACAGTAGAATTGGGGAGACTGCATTGTGGGGCAGTGTGAGTGTTGTGCATTTTTACATGGAGTGAAAGGAAAAGAGAGAGGGCTAATTTGTACCCAGAATGTCTGTGAATCAATGTATCCACATTCTGGAAAGCTGTAGGGAGCTGTGCATTTGTAGATGGGGGGATGTAGGTTGAGAGGAAGGGAGAGTGTAAACATTTTGCGGATGAAAATGAGCACTTGTGATGAGGAATGCATAGATTCATAGAAACCTAGAACTGGAAGGGACCTCAAGAGGTAATCGAGTCCAGTCCCCTGCCCTCACAGCAAGACCAATCACCATCTAGATCATCCCTGATAGTTGTCTATCCAACCTGCTCTGAAATCTCTCCAGGGAGGGAGATTCCACAACCTCCCTGGGCAATTTATTACAGTGTTGAACCATCCTTTTTGGTTTTTCGATCATGGCAGATCTCCTGGTTAAGCCAAGATGGTCTATTGCCATATTTTCTGTCTTTCCTATGCAGTGGTATAATTTGCTTCTGGGACCTTAATAATGTTCTTTTGAAAAACTGCCAACTCCCTTCAGTTGTTTTTCCTTTTAGTCTTGCTTCCCATGGAACTTCCATGGAACCTTACCAGCTCTTGGAGTTTACTAAAATCTGCCTTCCTGAAATCCATTGTCTCTGTTTTGCTGTTCTCGCTTCTATCCTTCCTTAGAATCATGAACTCTATGGTTTCATGATCACTTTCACCTACGCTGCCTTCCACTTTCAAATTTTCAACCAGTTCCTCCCTCTTTGCTAAAATCAAATCTAGAACAGCTTCCCCCCTTGTAGCTTCCTCAACCTTACGAAATAAAAAGAGGCAATAGCATAGATTGCTACACTTCCTTCTGTGATGCTGCTGCTGGTGGCCCTGACTTCACAACTGGGCTCCCACACTCTCTGGCCTCCCGGCATGGAAGATAGAGATGCCACCAGCAGCGGCAGAAAGGAAGGGTGCCAATACCATACCACACCACCCCTCCTTCTCCGCCGCCACACAGTGGCACTGGCCTCCGAACTGGGTGCCAAGACAGAAGTCACTGCTCTCCAGCCACTGAGCTTGGACGGCCAGGAAAAACCATAGACACTTCTTTAATATTTCCAAAATCTGCCCAGAGAAAGGCCTGAGGCCTTGTCAGGGAAAACCTGGATGGCTACCCAACTTATCGCCCCCCTCCACTTGTTCCCCTATCCCCTCTTGGGCTGGAAGCTAGAGAAAGACTGCACTTGGGGACTCCCCAACAACCCTAGGGTCCAAAATGGCCAAAAGGTTCTGGCAGACCATTTCCCACAACTCGCACAGAAGAGATGGATCCCTACCAAATACGCCATTCAGTCTTGTCAATTTCACAGTCAGAGGTTTTTTAATGGATCCGTTCCAGAATTTCTGGTGTTTACATTGTGTTTACATCAATTCATTATGTTCTAATTGGTGGTGCAGTTTGAGAGCAAGCTGGCCACCCCGGGTTAAGGGTGCAACTGGAAGATGAGGAGGTGGCCTAGTAAAGACGTTATCACACTGAAGTGCCTGGGGTTGTGGGTTGAAGTCCTGCTCTCATCTGGGTTCAAGGAAGCTAAGCTTTGGGGTTTGTTTTGCAATAGTGTTGTGGGAAGGGCGGTCCCAAGAATTCCAGCATCATTTCTGTGCTTCCTTTGGGGCAGGACTACAACGGAGTGCTCCCTCATTTCTGCACTGCTTCTCAAGGTGTCTCTGCTGGCCCCTGTCCAGGGGCAAGACAACTCCTTTCCCTGCCCCACCTGGCAAGACTAGCAGCTGGGTGTCCCAAACTTCTACCAGCATGGGGAGATCAGATTCCACAGTCCATGACACCTTTTTCACAGCTGTGAAATTGATGGGGTCCTACTCAGGAGAGGACGGAATGCAGGAACTAGGGTGGAAGGACATAATCGCTGCACCATTGAGATAAATAACCTCTCTAGATAAAAATCTCAGTACATTTCTTTTTTGGCAGCATAACTGCGGGTGAAAAAATAAACTCTTCCCAGCAATGGTTATTAAGCTAGCAAGAGCAGAACCTTTGGGGTAGAAAGAATTTTCTCCTTGATTTGCTTTTGAGAAACCTTGTTGTTGTTGTTTTAACTCGTTGGAATTGTCACTTACAAATTTCTGAGTGTAGGAATCTAGTCCCTAGCAACAAGACAGGCTGGGCTCAGTGGTCCCAGCAGGGACACAAAGACAGAATTTAAATGATCATTGCTGGAAGCCAAGTGGCAGCAGGCTAACCTGGGACTGACTTCTGATAGAAAAAAAAACACTCTGGGAAGATTTACTGTTGTGCATCCTAGAAAAGATATGTTATATAGTTTGTAGGAAGCTTGGTGGATCAAGAAAAAATAAACAGAAGGGAGGAAATTATAGAAAATTATCTATATTCATTTTCTTGGAATTTCCATCAAGACCAGTTAAACAAAATACAATGCCCTTGCAAACAAGGCAAAGAATGACATGTGACTAAGACAGATGTATGGATTCATGGCTGACGAGAGCCTAGCTAGAGTAATAGAAACTATGGATGAAAGCATCAGTACTCCATCTAGCATCTTATGTTTCACCTCACCTCTACCCACACCCCCACCTGCACCCCTTCCAGAAAATCTATGTCTGTGCTGTACTATCCATCAACAGATACATAACTTCCTGACCCCTCCTTCTGGCATGGCAGTTTAGGCCCTGAAGCATGGTATTAGATTAGTGGTATTACTTGTAGATAGAGAAGAGAAAGAAAGTGACAGGTTGTGGTAGGCAAAACAATTTTAAAATAGTATCCTTATTTATAGCTGGAGCATTTCAAGGTATTTTGTGTGTTTATACACAAGGTGTGACCGGCATACAAATTAGCAAACGTCTTTTGTTCTCAGCATCTGTTCTTTGCACTGTTGTGCGTACTCATTTTCCCTCTCTCTGCTGCTGCTGTGAAAGTGTCTCCCAGCCATGCTGGCATGTCTGAGCTACACAGTGAAGTCCATCAGTGACCAAGCTTCCCAAGATGGCTCATTTACCATCCTGGATTTGCTTGCCAGGAAGGCAGACTGCTGGCTGTTACCAAAATCCTTTCTGTTTAGACTCAATTCCCCACAGATCCCTTTGATTACACCTTTTTCTCTCTCTTCCTCTCCTTCCCCTCCACCTGAACAGCTTTTGCAGAGCTGCAGACAGACATCAATGAATTAACCAGCGACCTGGATCGCTCCGGGATCCCATACCTTGATTATCGGACGTATGCCATGAGGGTCCTTTTCCCTGGTATTGAGGACCACCCCGTCCTGCGTGAGCTGGAGGTAATGAAATGGCTGGGTGCATGCTCTCCCTCTCCACTGCTCCATGTGCTTACGTAGCTTGGACTGTTTTCCTGGTCCCTTCTGGGAAGCTAAACTGAAAGTCACAGAGCTGTGAAGCACCTTCCCACCTCCCTTGCCGGATCTTATTAGAAGTGCTAGGATAAGTGAAATAAGCACAGAGTTCATTTTAACAAATGGCTGGACATTTTATCTCTTTAACACACTGCTTGCTTCCTCCTGATCTCTTCTGGGGCTGGGGACTGTTTTATTATTTTATTATTTCCCTTGCTAAAGCACCCCGATGGAGCTTGCAAGCCCAGCAGCAAGCTGGCTGCCTGCCTTATCAGGGTTTGGTTTGTTTGCTTGTTTTTTTTTTTAAGTCTCTTTTAATCCCTTTATTGTAGACGAAAAGCAAAGGGTATCAGGCTAGGGGCGGTCTCCTGATTTATTGCTGTTCTCTCTAAAGGATGAGAGAGAACCTTGGTATAACCTTGGTATAACCTGGCCCTGCTCTCCCTTGGTAGCTTTCATTCCCACTCCCCCCCCCCTTTTTTTTTTAAGATCAGAGTCCATTTTAACTTCAGTCCTCACTGAAATTTCAGAGTCCATTTTAACTTCAGTCCTCACTGCTTTGTGCTGTGTTCCTATGAGGCTCCTGCAAATGGCAGTGGGTTGAGGGGATCAGCTCATGAGCAAACACTGGAGCTGCAGGAAGTCATACCGATCACCATGCAGTGCTTTCCCTTTGAGACGGTGCTGACTTGGTGCCCCAGTGTGGCACTAGAAGGCCCAGCAGAGGCTGGGATACTTTACAGCTGTTAAATATTGGTGTGGTTCCAGTGACGTCCATGGATCTATGCTGTTAACATCCTCTGAAGACTCGCCCACTGTCTTTAGGATGAGCTGTAAAAGAGAGGCCTTGACCACTTGTGGTCATTACAGCTGCCCTGGTGTTGTTGACATAAGCTGGTTTGGGCCTGCCAGATTCCAGTATGGGTCACTGTGTTCTGTCTACGTAAACCGTCCAATTAGATGTGCTCTTGGCCAACCAGTACTGAGTCTGCTATTGATCAATTACAGTGCATCGCTCTAGAAGTGGCTGCATTTCATGCATGAATGAAGGGATCCCTGCATATCACTTCTATCAAGTCACGCTCTGCTATGAAAGGCATTGTAAAAATACAAAAGATCATTATTATTATTTTAACAAAGGATTGAATTAAAATTAACAAACTGGATTAAAATTAGGCCACTGACAGCAAACTGCTGGCCACCATTCGTGCATTAAACTCAGGCTGCCTTTGAATTGGCTTCTCCCATTGCCAATCTCCAAAACTTTCCAGCCCTGCACACAATGTGTGTTATTTAAATTGCCAAGTAAGCTGATTTTCTAGCAAACCAATGTGTCCGCTTTGTATTGGTTTCACTTATGAAATACAGAACCGCAGGAGTGATAAATGTGTTGCCAATTACACAGTTGTTTAATTATATAATGTTGGTAGAACCAATATATAAGGCTCCAAGATGTTTAGTGAAGAATTGCTTAATGTAGTTTATCATTTTGACTCATAATGAATTACTTAAAACTAGGCTTGGCTGAAAGCCTCAATTAATCTTTTACTGTTTCTCTATAATAAAGCAATAGTCTAAATTAGTAATTAATTTACTTATGGGAGTGTCACTTCTTTTTTGCAGAACAAGTACAAAATGTCTGTCATTCGTAGGGCTTTCAGCCTCCAAGCAGAAGCGCTACTGTTCAGCGAGCCAGATTCACAGCAGTGGTGAAGTTAGAAATAAGGGCATAGTTTCTTTCGGGGTCTTGCTGAGATCGTTGTCCTCTGCTTCACAGGTCCAAGGAAATGGGCAGCAGAATGTGGAGAAGGCCTTGAAGCTCTTTGCCCAGCTGATCAACAACAAGGTGTTTCTGCTGACGTTCATCCGGACCCTGGAGCTGCAGCGTAGCTTCTCCATGCGTGACCGTGGCAACGTGGCTTCCCTTATCATGACAGGCCTGCAGGGAAAGCTGGAATATGCAACTGATGTGCTGAAGCAGCTGCTCTCGGACCTGATTGAGAAGAACCTGGAGAACAAGAATCATCCCAAACTGCTCCTGCGCAGGTAAGATGAGTGGCAGTGGAAGAATGAGTCAACAGTGTGCCCTTGTAGCCAAGGGCTACATATTGGGGAGCATTAGTAGGAGTATTGCCAGCAGGTCTAGAGAAATGATTATTATCCTTTACTCGGCACTGGTGAGTCCACATCTGGAGTATTGCATCCAGTTTTGGGCTCCCATTACAGAAAGGATGTGGACACATTGGAGGGTTCAGCGGAGGCAACCAAAATGATTAGGGGGCTGGAGCACATGACCTATGAGGAGAAGCTGAGGGATTTGGTCTTATTTAGTCTACAGAAGTGAGGAGTGAGGGGAGATTCAATAGTAGCCTTCAGGTTTCTGAAGGGGGGTTCCAAAGAGGATGGAGAGAGGCTGTTCTCAGTGGTGACAGATGACACAGCAAGGAGCAATGGTCTCAGGTTGCAGTGGGGGAGGTGTAGGTTGGATATTAGGAAGAACTATTTCCCTAAGATGGTGGAATCTCCATCTCTAGCAGGTTTTAAGTCCCAACTTGACAAAACTCTGGCTGGAATGATTTAGTTGGGGTTGGTCCTGCTTTGGGCAGGGAGTTAGACTTGATGACTCCTGAGGTCTCTGCCAGCCCTGGGATTCTATGATTCTAAGAAGCTGCAGGGGACATTGTCAGCTGACGGTCAGGGCTCCCTATATCTGTCCCTTAAGACCGGCTGAAGTTCTTTTAAATTGTGCCTGGTTCTGTTACAGCAACTGAAGGAGTCAGGTTAAAACTTAAACAGTTACAGGTTTATTGAGGAAGCTTATAAATCATATGGTTGCAATGGCTATTGTTCTATTTCTTAACTGCTAGCAAAATATAGATCTTAAAAATGGTTACAAAGAAGATAAAGATAGGAAAACAGAAATAATTGTACCAAGTAACAGCTTAATCTTTAAAGAACTCTAAGTCTGTGTACACTTAAGACAGAGGACCACATCCAGGTACAATTTTTACCCCCTTCTGTGCCTCTCGACTCCAGCGTGTCAGGCCAGGGCCGGTCCCTCAATTCCTAGGAAAGACGAAAATACGAGGTGGGCGTCCCCATAGAACCTCGGGAGGTCGGACACCTAACCCGACCAGCAGGTAGAGGGTAGAATGACACTCAAAGTGAGTGTGTGCTGGACCCATCTTTTATACCCATTGGGGTCACGTATTTCTCTTTCTTATCTGTCATGCCAAATGGGGCTGGTCTGTCTTTTGTGAGACCAGTTCTTACAAGGGAGTTGTGAACTTAATTTACACTTGTAAGAGAGATAACTAAATTGGAAGTACTGGGCATTCTTTTCTCAGTGGGGGATTCCTCTCCCAGGGACTGTGTGTTCGTATCAACATGGGTGCCAGCCGGGCACATTCGCATATCCTGATCTTGCATCAAAGCAGATCAAAGCTTAATGGCTATGCTGATTGCCTTAATCGTTCTCTCTCTCCTCATATCTATGTTTTCAGCTTCTCAGGATCAGATGAGCCAGCATAGACTATGCTGATTTTACTGCTCCTTCTCTGCCCTTTATGCTTCAGAGAGGCAAATAAGATGGATGATATGGGGGGTTGGTCTGTCTGGCTACAGACATGCCCAGATGAAGGAACCAGAGTCATGCAGTTGCTGTCCTTGCTCCAACCAGGGAAGAGCCTTAGCTGGGGGGAGGCAATGAAAGTTACATGGCCACCAGTGTCTAAAACACACACACTCACTGGCAAGTACCAAAGAAATGTTGCATACATCAGGATCTGGCAGTGGGTAGCAAGGAAACCTGGTCCAGGCAGACCTTCCAAGTGCAGAACTCCCATCCTATGCTTTTACTAATTGCTCTTACCACTTTCCGTAGCCTCTCTGGTGCTGAGGGGCTGTGGAGTGGGGAGAGGTTGCTTGATCTTTCCATCTTGCTGCACTTGGAGCCCTGGGAAGGCTCAGCATGGGGGGAGAGTGGCTCCAGGCGAGATGACCCAGTTGACACTAATAAGCGAGAGTGTGTAGTAGAGGTTTGGACAGCTTGACAGTTAAAACGCATTACTCAGCATTGACAGGCTGACCCCTGACCTGCAGGGACATGAACAATTTCACTCTTATGTTTTCCAGATGTCAGGTTTTTTATTCCCAGCCCAGGTGGTTTCTTGATGAGCAGTTCCCATCACTTCTAACCTGGTTATCTTGAGGAGATTGGCTTTGTCACTTCTTTCCTATTCACCTTGGGGGTTGGGAGGCTCGAAGGGGCTGAGGGCCCTGCTCAGAGTTGTCTTTGACTGTTGGGTCGGTTTTTTTTGGAGGGGGGGGGAATTGGTTTTTTCTAAATAAAAAATGTCCCTTTGCTTCCCCACACGCACACACACAGAGCTAGCTCTTGGCCATGAAGGAAGCAACTGGAAGACAAAAAGGGACAGGGCCGATGGGCTTTTGATGGATGCCCTGTTCTGTTGTGCAGACAGAAGGGAGGAATAAGGGGGGGTCAACAGAGAGGGTGGGGGATTATGAGCGAAAGAGAGACACACGAGAGGTAATAGTTCTCCTGGACCAAGTTTAAGCCCTTGTGCAATCATCCATGAAAACATACGATCTAGTTAACCCCATGGCACTAGAGACAGGGAAGGGGAATGGATGGTTGGTTGGAGGCCTCCCGATGGTGTGTTGCATTTTTCTTTCTGCCACCAGCCCACGTAGCATGCCTGAAATGTCACGGTGCGCCAATGCCTCCACCCCAAGAGAGCTGGACTTGATAAATGGGGTGAGCTGAGCCACATCTGGAGGCCTTCTCTCGCCATCACTGGGTGAAGGCTGACAGGGCCATCCATCTCACTGGTGCCAGATGGCCCCTGAGGTTATGCTGGTATCTCAATGTCAGACAGTTTCTCTTCCCCCTGCACCTCAGTCCATCTTCCAGCTGGGTTGGCAGGGGACGCAGGTGCTGGATGGAAAAAACTGGGTTAAGGGTGAGAATAAAAGCAAAGGCGCTCCCTTGGGACACACAAATGGTGTGGGGAGAGCATTCAGGGGCAATCTTAGCATGTTTCTTAGCGTTGCTCTGTCTGTTTCGTTCTACTGCCAGCCAGGACTATGTTGGTGCGGCTTTACGGCAGAGGTAGGACTGGCACATGCTCAGAGATTTTGCTCTGGTGGTTCTTGCATCTCAGCCACGTTTCTTCTGTCGAGTAGCACCTTGCTAGTCCAAACAGAGTGAGGGTGACATGGAATTAATTCAGATAACCAGGGACTTGGAAATGAAGGAGGAATGTTTTGATGTAACTTGAAGTGAGACATCACTTGTACCTAGAGCTGTGGGTTTCCCATAATCTTAAATGCAAATGCTGCTCACACGTGATACAAAGCATGACAGTGGGTGCTGCTCACCCGTCAGCATTTACTGATCTGCAGGGTCTGATCTGGACAGCGGTCTTTGTGGAATACCTTACATAAGAACATAAGAACGGTCATACTGGGTCAGACCAAAGGTCCATCCAGCCCAGTACCCTGTCTGCTGACAGTGGCCAATGCCAGGTGTCCCAGAGGGAGTGAACTGAACAGGTAATGATCAAGCATCTCTCTCCTGCCATCCATCTCCACCCTCTGACAAACAGAGGCTGGGGACACCACTCCTTCCCCATCCTAGCTAATAGCCATTGATGGACTTAACCTCCATGAATTTATCTGGTTCTCTTTTAAATCCTGTTCTAGTCCTAGCCTTCACAGTCTCCTCTGGCAAGGAGTTCCACAGGTTGATTGTGCGCTGTGTGAAGAAGAACTTCCTTTTATTTGTTTTAAACCTGCTGCCCATTAATTTCATTTGGTGGCCCCTAGTTTTTATATTATGGGAACAAGTAAATAACTTTTCCTTATTCACTTTCTCCATACCACTCATGATTTTATAAACTGTATCATATCACCCCTTAGTCTACTCTTTTCCAAGATGAAAAGTCCTAGTCTCTTTAATCTCTCCTCATATGGGATATGTTCCAAACCCCTAATCATTTTAGTTGCCCTTCTCTGAACCTTTTCTAATGCCAATATATCTTTTTTGAGATGAGGTGACCACATCTGTACACAGTATTCCAGATGTGGGCGTATCATGGATTTATATTAGGGCAATAAGATAGAGAATATCTTATTCTCAATCCCTTTTTTAATGATTCCTGACATCCTGTTTGCTTTCTTGATTGCTGCTGCACTGCGTGGACGTCTTCAGAGAACTATCCACGATGACTCCAAGATCTCTTTCCTGATTAGTTGTAGCTAAATTAGCCCCCATCATATTGTATGTCTAGTTGGGGTTATTTTTTCCAATGTGCATTACTTTGCATTTATCAACATTAAATTTAATTTGCCATTTTGTTGCCCGATCACCTAGTTCGGTGAGATCTTTTTGAAGTTCTTCACAGTCTGCTTTGTTCTTAACTACCTTGAGCAGTTCAGTATTGTCTGCAAACTTTGCCACCTCACTGTTTACCCCTTTCTCCAGATCATTTCATAGAATCATAGAATCATAGAATAATAGGACTGGAAGGGACCTCGAGAGGTCATCGAGTCCAGCCCCCCGCCCTCAAGGCAGGATCAAGCTCCGTCTACACCATCCCTGACAGATGTCTATCTAACCTGTTCTTAAATATCTCCAGAGAGGGAGATTCCACCACCTCCCTTGGCAATTTATTCCAATATTTGACCACCCTGACAGTTAGGAATGTTTTCCTAATGTCCAGTTCTAGAAGTAGGAAACATGCTGATCTGCTTTCTCATTGTATCACAGCACACTAGCTTTTTTTTAGGGTCACCTGCTGCATGAGACATAATGCTGGTGGTTGTGCCTGTAAATCCCTGGCTATCCAGGTGCATGTTTGCATTGAATTATTGTTTCAAAGGTTGAAGCAGGGCCTCAAAGAAACCTACTGCAGGAACTACAATAGGCCTGACCTTGTTTGAGCTGCTATGTTCGCTTTTGGAGTGCAGAGCTTTTCTAATCAGCCTGTGCCAGATCAAAGCAAAAGGGAAAAACCTTGGCATTT